GTTTGATCTGCCGGGGTTTGCTCTGCTTGCGCCGGGACATCTCGGCGGCGGCCGCTGCCCCCCGGGTTCCGGCGCTACCCGCGCCCGCCGCCGCCGCCGCCGCCGCCGCCGCTGGGGCTCGGGGCCGCCGCCCGCCGGACTCCAGGTGCTCCGGGCGCGCGGGATCCGGACTCGGGGCTCCTCCGGGAGCCGCCGAGCTGCGCTCGGGGCTGAGCAGGCAAATGAGGAGCGAGCGCGGGGGGCCGGGAGAGTGTGACAGTGCGGAGGGGCGGGGGGAGAGGCGCCGGGCGATGCTGCCGGGGGGCTGAGGGGGGGCGCAAGCGGGGGTCCAGAACGGGAAGAGCCCGAGCCCAACGCTGGGGCGCGGGAGCCAGGAAAATATTCTAACAATAATAAGCAGCAGCGGGGGCGGGGGGGGTGCCGCGGAAGGCTGGCGGCCGAGGCGGAGCGGAGCGAGAGCGAGCGCCGGGGAGCGGGGCGAGAGGGGGCGCCCGCCCGGGGCCGACACTCCGCCCGCCGCCGCCGCCGCCGCCGCCGCCGCCGCTCCGGGCCGCGCCGCTCGGGCTGTGCCGCGGGAGGAGGGAGGGGCGCGGCGCTGGGGAGGGGACCCGGCTCTGGCCGCGCTCGGAGGATTGGCTGCATCCGAAGCCAGTCCGGATGCGAACTCGGGCCCGGGCCTCGGCCGGCCGGGAGGGCTGGGGGGGCGGGGTGCGCACGAGGTGGGGCGGGCTTGGATGGGGGGGGGGAGCCACCTCCTGCGGTTGTCACCGCGTCAGTCCTGGGCGGCCGCCAGAGCAACCCCTCCCCCTCCTGGCAAGCAACTTCTTCCAAGTGCCCCTTGGAAGGACCCTCCCCCTCCGACGCTCCCCCACCCCCCCAACTTACGCCCCAACTCTCCTCTCTCCTGAGCCTCGCCCTAGCTGCGGGGCACAAAACGGGGGTGGGGGGAGAAAAAAATCTCCATCTGGTTGGAAACTTTGCTCCTGCACTTCGGCCACCTCCCTGCCCTGGCCCGCACCCCTGCGCCCTCCCAAGCTTCTTGGCAGCGAAGGTCAGGCCACTGGCAAAATCCTCCAGTTTGAGCCAGCTGGTGACAAATGCCAAGTGTGTGTCGGGTGGGGGGGAGGCAGTGAAGTCTTCTCATCTGTGCCGGCTCTCCGAAACAGTTTCGGGGGTCCCGGGAGACGGCGGCGGACCCGGACCGACCCCGCTGGGCGCGTGCAGGAGACGGCGAGCCGCGGGCGTCCCGGGAGTAGTGCTTTTTCCCACCTCGACTTTCCATGTTTTAAGGGTCTGCACCAAGCCCAGGGTGCGGGCAGGCAGAGGGTTCTCTCCTCTCCCAGGTGGGGTGCCGGGAATTCGGGGTCGAGTTCTAGGTAGGAAGGGAACCGCCTCGACGGAAAATCCTAACTTGGGCGAAGAAATTCTGAGGTTCCACCCGACCCCATGACCTTTTTCATTCTTTAACTTCTGCTCTACGGGGAAGCAGCCAGCGACTCTGGAAAGAGTTGACCTGCTCATTATTTTCCCAGCAGGTAAGACCCGGTGACTCCAGGACTCCTGGAAAGTTTTCTTCTTATTCTACGACGGCATGGGTGGAGTAAGGTAGTAGCGCTTGTAGATGTAGTGGTAGCAGGATAGTAGTTTTGGGCACCTCCAAAAGTTCACATTTTGAAGGGACTGTGGAGTTCTACTTTAACCAAGTGAAGCTGTCTTGAGATAAGCTGCGTTTTGCATTGTTTGCCACCCACTTGGGTAAGAGACCTGCCCTGCCCCCTCTCCTGGGGCTGAAAGGACCATCTCCTTGGCACAGTGGTGCTGGCTGTTTTGTGTCATCGATATTTACTAATCAAAGATGTTGCTTCTGACTTGTGTTCCCCCAGATCCTGCGAGCTGCCCCCTCCCCAGCTGTGACCTCAACCATTCTACTCTGAAATCTTCCCCCTGGCTTGGTTTGCTGGTGTTCCTATTACCGTCCCCCCCAAAAAAAAATTCCTCATCATTCAAGGGTTCTGGGGTTAGCCTGGGCTGGCTGAGCAGAGTGCAGGGGTGGTGGGGAAGAGGGGCCAGCAGTGTTTAACCCCATCAGGACACATTCTGGAAGGTGGAAAAGCCGTCCTGTGGAATATGGCCTAGACAATCTTAATATAGAGCTGAAGATGATTGTGCCCGTGATTACATGACACTCTCACCCTTTGAGATGGTCAGAATACAGGGGCCTCTGCAGTGGAAAATGCACTCAGTGACCAAGCCCCTCCCCTGAAGAACCAACAAATGACAGCCGTAAGTACCATTAAAAAAATATAGTTATTTGTGTTTGTGTCATGCACTGAATAGGCAGACAGGGAACTGCAGCTTTGCCTCCTTAATTTTCAGTTCATTACAATTAAATTGGTCTGCTTAGAACTGAATGTATTATACATTTGGTTTTTAGATTTTTTTTAGCAGAACTGGCTGACTTTTTATATCACCCAAAAGGAATGCCCCTTGGAATTAAAATATCATAACAGTTAGTGTTTCTTTTGGCATTTGAAATGGTTAAATATTCAAAGCAAAAGGGAAACAGATAAATCTCAGCTAAATATTCAGTTTAAAGGCAGAAAGGAGCAAGAGTCAGGGGACTCAAGGAAAGATCGATAAAAATAACCAGAATGCATTATTAGAAAGATTTTAGTATATGTATATTTTGAAATATATACATAAGGTGTATATACATGAAATAAGCTAAGGAATGACCTGTCTTGTTTTCTATTCATTTTAATGAGCATGTTAATGAAATTAAAAAATAAAATTATTTTTTATTTTTTCTACTTGAACTCACTATGGTTATAAAATTAAAAAGACAGCAAAACCTATAGGCGATTATCTCTGTCCAAATGGATATAGTAGCCCAAAACCACAGTTACATGACTATGAAACAATGATTATGAAAACCACAATTGAGAAAGGCATCAGGAAATGATATTGCAAAGCCACAGCAACAAATGTGTCTGTGATACTGAAAACCACAATTCACAACTAATACCCTGTGTATCACAAATTGCTTCTACTAAGCTTTAAATGAAAATATATATTAGTAACAGAAAATAATTTCTCATTTACTTAAAAATGAATAATTCATTTTCAAGAATCATTGATTTCCTCATTATATAATGGTTCATTTGGAAATCTTTCAACTTTTAAATACAAATAATTTTAAATCATATATATAGAGAGAGATGTTTCCTTGACAGAATAAATACAACTTCAATAAAGTTTTCTCCAATGCAAAAATAATTTAGCTGAAATATCAACCTGAAATAAACACCTGTCAGTCTAGCCTTCTTCATGAAATTCTTTGGGAATGGAAAAATATGTGAGTAAGAGCTTGGAGTATTTCATTACTGCTTCTAGGCAAATATCATTGTATATAATCTAAGATTATCACTTTAGCTAGAAAACATACACCTGACAATAAAATGAGATTCCAGCACTAGAACTACTTTGATATGTAAAAATCAAATATTTAGTTACATGTGAATGAAACCAAAATTAGTTACAAGTTTACAGGGTTGCAAGATTTAGAAAATTAAAACACAGAATGTCCAGTTATATTTAAATGTTAAATTGACAAGAGTATTTTTTTTGCTTTGGGTATAAGTACATTCCATGTGATCATCGGTACTACTTAGCTTTAAAAAATTATTGTGGCTTATCTGAAATTCTAATTTAACCAGGCATCCTTTACTTTTCCAAGCATGCATGAAAGTTTATCATTTTAGCATTTTCAAAAATGCATGGTTGTTTACAATAGTGCTCAGCAAGAAGGCAGAGAAGCCCTAAAGTGCATCATACAGATGTGGATATATTTAATTCTGGAACATCATATTCTTTGGGGAAAGCAAGGTGGAAGGAATAAATTTCTATATAAAAATTCTTTATTTGGCACAGTGCGAAAATATGCTCTCGGTGTAAATGGATTGCATTCATGTATGTCTTACTCTTGGATTGTTTTTAAAATGTGTTTTCCCTCCAAGGGATCAACAAATTGATAAAGCAACCTCCCAAGCCACATCTTATTAGGCAGCAAGCTGCTTGCTTTATTATGGGAGTAAACAATATTCAAAAGCTTCAGAAAGACTTAATTTTTTGCCCTTGTATCCTCACCAGAAATTGAATACAGTTTATCTGCTTTGATTTAAGATTGTGACACTGAATTGAACAAGAATGCAGTATGAAAATAGCATTTAGTATTTGTATCTTTATAATTTCAGCAGTTTAAAAATCAACAAATTCATCTATATGGCATTCGTCCTTTATAAGCATTAAAGGGACTATCTGGGAGCCTGAGAGATATTATAGAGGATTAGGTGCTTGCCGTGGATACAGCTAACCTGGGTTTGATTCCCAGCACCACGTATGAACCCTGAAACCTCTTGGGAGTGATCCCTGAGTGCAGAACCAGGACTAAGTCCTGAGCACAGCTGGGAGTGACCCCAAAACAAAAACAAAACAAAGTGTTTTAAAAGACTATTTACCTGCAAACGATTTAATCTAGTACTTGGAAAAGTTTGAGTCGGTCTAAATCACTGGTATAATTGTACACTGTATGAATTACTAATTCATTGGAAAAAGCTTTTATGTGCCAACAAATATTTTTTACAAGCAGAAAATCTACTGAAACCATCAGATTTTCACAAATTGTGAAGATGGAACCAGTGAGAATTATCAATTACTGTTTGTGTGTATGTATGTAACTTTCTATGATATACTGGAAACCAAAATGTAACTCATTTGTTTTCACTCTTGCAATTATAATTTAGGTGCAAATTATTACTCTAATAGAAGAAGCCCACAGGATAAACTCTGTTTTTTAATAACAAGTTTTTTCTGGGGCCAGAGAGATAAACTCCTTTTCTCTGTTAAGATGCTGGCCTGTGTTATGGCCAATTCTGGTTAGCGCCCGAGCAAGACATAATGATACCCTGAGCACATCTGAGAGTGATCCCTGAGCACAGATACAGGAGTAAGTCCTGAGCATTGCCAGGTGTGGCCCAATCCTCCCTCACCATCTCTAAACCCCACCCCCACAAACTTTCTGGCTAAGTCTATATAACATATAACCTAACTCCGAATACAACAGACATATTAAAGAGTAACCTTCCTCATATCTTGGCTCTGCCTGCCAATTGGTTTTCTCTCTTTTTTTTGGTAATAATACTGTAATAACCCCTGAAAAACTACAAGCCCCCCACCCACCCATTGTGTGGTCATGTGATGCAGGTGGGAACCTTCCTTCAT